TAGTTAAAACATTAATTCTGTGTAATCATATAGGATTCATAAATATTAAATGTCGGACAACTTTTCTTTGGCTTAGGAATAGTACTAGATATATCTGCGTAACACAAAGACATATAAAACAAATATAAACTGAATATAAAGTTAAAATGTGGTTTCTAAAATTGGAACAATTTGAACAGATGTGCCAGCGAGTATTGTACAACTCTCGACACGTTGTACAAACTGTTTTCCTGTTTTAAGGTTTTTCAGCACAAAAAGTTGCTAGAATTTTGGATATTTTGCTGTCATAAATTTTCTTCTCTTCTGTGATTTGTTGTCAGTACATTAATGCCAATGAGCAGGCCTTTCTCACAATGCTTTCAATGGTAATATATGGCGACCAATCACCCATTTTCGCACGAATTTGAATGGGCGTTGAGATCAACATTCAATTACTTAAAAACACCAATCAATTTCACACTAGAAGCATGCGACTTCACATTTTAATCATGCAATTTCAAAAACAGGGCATTCAAATTAAAATTGCACGAACGAGCATCCAAATTCGCCGGAGCTTCCAGCTGTGTAAGTTTGGTCATTCGAATTCACCAGTAAGCAAGCATGTGAAAAGTGTATAAGCAAAGTAATTCGAAATAGGTCCATGTCTTCCGTCGTTTGTTAGTGCTTTTTTTTCCAAGTTTGATAAAATAACACGCTCGTTTCAGCTTTTTTTTCGCATTGTTGTTGAACTTGTTACTTTTCTCTGTAAATTTGTTAAAAATATATATACTTTACGTTCCTGTTTCCAGCCTTATTTAAAAGTTTTGTTGTATTCTTTTAGGGGTTGTAAGAGATCCTGTGAGACAAACATGTTATTTTTGCCGACATCAAGTGCGACATATTGGGCATAAATTTGCCGGTATCAACTGATGAAAAAGTTGAACTTTCATTTATTTTGAAGCCATGATAAATGATAATACAAAACCAGTCCGTCATTTTTTTTTGAGGAATGAACCAAAATTTATTTCCAATAATAAACCGAAGAAACAATGATTTAAATAATTGTATTAATCTGTAAATACAAGTAATCACCGGGAAAATCAAAATTGAAATCATGGGTATCCGTAACATTTTTAGGCAATTGCACATTTTCATTGGCAGCTTGACTTGAGTTTTCAATTCATATCTGTGATGTTCAGTTGACAATATTTTTTTCTTGTCCTAAATCTAACTTTTAAAATGATGTGATTATTGCCTGTAAGTGTAAAGCACACCGCAATAAAGCAACGCATGCTGCCATTTTAAATCCTGCCAAACTAACAAGGTTTCTTGTGAGACTGAAATACCTGGATATGGGCCATTCTAGAAATTTGGGGTCCACTTTGTTTTCCTAGCCCTGTTGCATCTAAAATCTATGATTTTATAATTCTGACGCACTCCTTAATGCAGCCTTCCTCCAAGAGTGAGTCTGAATAGCAAACTACCTACCCAACAAATAAAACATTGTTTGAAGTCATTCTTAATGGTACTTGAATGGCAAATTACACGGTGACTGCTCTATGTTCCGACACCCCTATGTTCCGACAGCCCGCACATAAGATTGTGTTACTCCCGGTTAGGGTTAGGGTTGGGAATATGTGCAGTCGGAACATAGGGGTGTTGGAACATAGGGGTGTCGGAACATAGGGGTGTCGGAACATAGGGGTGTCGGAACATAGGGGTGTCGGAACATAGGGGTGTCGGAACATAGGGGTGTCGGAACATAGGGGTGTCGGAACATAGGGGTGTCGGAACATAGGGGTGTCGGAACATAGGGGTGTCGGAACATAGGGGTGTCGGAACATAGAGGTGTTGGAACATAGGGGTGTCGGAACATAGAGGTGTTGGAACATAGGGGTGTTGGAACATAGGGGTGTCGGAACATAGGGGTGTTGGAACATAGGGGTGTCGGAACATAGGGGTGTTGGAACATAGGGGTGTTGGAACATAGGGGTGTCGGAACATAGGGGTGTTGGAACATAGGGGTGTCGGAACATAGGGGTGTTGGAACATAGGGGTGTCGGAACATAGGGGTGTCGGAACATAGGGGTGTTGGAACATAGGGGTGTCGGAACATAGGGGTGTCGGAACATAGAGGTGTTGGAACATAGGGGTGTTGGAACATAGAGGTGTTGGAACATATGGGTGTTGGAACATAGGGGTGTCGGAACATAGGGGTGTTGGAACATAGGGGTGTTGGAACATGGGGGTGTCGGAACATAGGGGTGTCGGAACATAGAGGTGTCGGAACATAGGGGTGTTGGAACATAGGGGTGTCGCAACATTGGGGTGTCGGAACATAGGGGTGTCGGAACATAGGGGCGTCGGAACATAGGGGCGTCGGAACATGGGGGTGTCGGAACATAGAGGCGTAACCCAAAGTACCAAGGTCAAGGTAACGGGGTCACACTGCAGACCCAAAATTGTAGAATGACCCACATGTTTGCCATAAAACAGAACACAATTCACACACAGTGCTTCTTCCGAGATACATGTACTCGACTAACGATTCACCTACAATGGTTAAAATTCGATCTAAATCAAGAATATCTATTATGATAAAATTTTTGAAATAATCTCATGAACAATTTGGCTATAGCGATACAATTAATACAGGGACACATTAAGAAACTAATGTAAACTGAGCTGTAGATAAGATATATAAATACGAATAGTTAAAACATTAATTCTGTGTAATCATATAGGATTCATAAATATTAAATGTCGGACAACTTTTCTTTGGCTTAGGAATAGTACTAGGTATATCTGCGTAACACAAAGACATATAAAACAAATATAAACTGAATATAAAGTTAAAAAGTGGTTTCTAAAAATGAAACTGAACAGATGGGCCAGCGAGTGTTGTACAACACTCGACACGGTGTACAAACTGTTTTCCTGTTTTAAAGTTGGCTGAAAATGTCAAAGTTAGTTTTTACAAAATTTAGTGAGAACACTGGTTTTTACGTAATCAGCACAGAGTTGTTATTTTTAATAAATGGAATTGGATGCCAAGTGAGGTTCTGTTGCTTGCTCTGATTAAAAAAAAAAAAAACCAAGAACGTGATAGCAATCCACACAAACCCTGTAGTTGGCCACTTTGTTGGTCAAATGTTAGTTGATTGTCAAAATTTATATATAATTTAAACATATACAGTTATATTTTTTTAATGAATTAAATAACAGACAATACATCAGCGGTTAACATCTGAACATAAACACATTAACATAAGGCCAAGTGAAATAATAAACCAGTTTTTCGTCCACGCCGGCTTCCTTTTTTCCCAAGCCGCCTCTCATTTGCAATATATTTTGCACTTATTTTGTCAATACATCGTTTTTAAATTTGTTTCCAACAAAATTGTAGCTATGTAGAAAGGGTGACGACTCCTTCGGACACAAAGAGTCGAGAAAATTAAACAATTTTTTTTGTGAAAAGGCCAGACGAGAAACTAGTTATTTTTTTTACTCGGCCAAAATAAAACAGGTCAATTTCATGGCGCTGCCCAGCGGTTATGTACAGAAGCCCCTCCCACTTTTGGCTACTGTGGTCACCTGATCCAAACTCATGATCTAATTGGTCAATGTGCATTCTTTGATTGACAGGCAGGGAGGGTTCGATCAGCACTTTAGTTTTTGGGGCTGAAAAATTAAACTTCGCCCTCTGCAAATTTGCCACTACACAGCACCTGAAACTGGACCCGAAAGCCCATCGCCAAAACTCAACTGCACATGTACATTATATCACATTATATTACACGCAGAATTAAAAGCAGTTGTGGAAAAAATCAGAGTTTTCAAAATCCGGTTATCCTATTTTTTTCAAACCGAATAATGGTTATCTGATATCTTCCGGAAGTTCCCATCCAGCTCACATTCATGCCAACCAAAAGTGACGAGTAAGGTCAAAGTTTCATTTTGTCAAAACCATAAAGATTTTTGGTAAACAGGTTCCAAAAAGAGGTTTGACAGATTTTCTCCTAATTTTTTAAGATCAGTACCTTTGAAATCGCTATTTTTTTTCTTTCACAACTTTCTGTCAATTGGAACTATAAGTGATCTTCATAGTTTTCTTTTAATATTGCACAATATGAATAAATTAAAATCGTACTGACTATTCTACCTCGACAAAGATTCAATGTTTTTAGTTGGCTGAATTTGATGGTTGAAAGGAAGATGGGTTGAAAAAAAGCACAATGGAAAACTGCCTTAATTCACTTTTAATCAATAAGTAAAAGTTGAACAAGGCGATGTACCGGTACATGTACATAAAAAAAAATACTGTTCAGGACAATCCACAACGTGAAGATTAGTGTGTACAATGGGAAGAAAGACTACGTTTGAGCGCATTGTTAACCAAAACACTGGATCATGCAGGATGTGGTTAACACTTTAAAACAACTACTGAGCAATAGTTATTACCACATTGTGTTACCGCAACTCAAAACGATACTTTAAAACAGGTTAAGTTTTGAGATGAAAGGAAAGCGAAAAATGTGTATCTATCGGTGAGGTTTTCCTTGAAACACGCAAAATTTACATACAAGCTTGACACGTGAATGAGTTAGCAGTGCAATTGATGGCAGTGTTAATCACTCTGACCCCATGCATAATAAGTTTTGTTATCAGTAAATACATTTGACGAAAGGTGGACCAAATCTGAGGTAGTAAGACAAGGCGTAAATAAGTGGAAAGACAGCAAAAAAGCCCGCAAGACCAAACACAAAATCAAGTCTTTACAAACAGCCTTTACGAACAGCACACACCACATAACCACCTTGATAATGAAGATGGGTCATTCTAGACATTTGGGGTCCACTTTTTTTTTCCTGTCCCTGTTACATCTGACATGTATGATTTTATAATTCTGATGCACTCCTTCACGCATTCGTCCTCCAAAAGTGATTATGAATAGCAAACTACCTACCCAACAAATGCAAAAATCATTTGAAGTCATTCTTAATGATACTTGAGTGGCAAATTACAAAGTACCAAGGTAACAGGGACAGGAAAAATTTCAGACTCGGGACCCTAAATTTACAAAATGACCCTGATGACACTTAGACTCAACAGTAACACCATTTGGCTTCTTTCTTCTTGATTTTCTCCAGCATGTTACCATGGATGACTTTGTCGGTACTCTGAAGACGATTTATCTGTGGGGAAAAATTAATAACCCAGTGTGTCACGATCAATCCGTCACAGTTCATTTGAGGAGGTTGTTAACATGTTTTAATATGAATAGCTTCGGGATATCAACCCCCAAAAATGGAAATTACTTTTGGCATGGACGAATCTGGAAATGTGATCACTTGTACATGCATGAGGTCCTTTTTAATGGAGAAATGATTGTGCACGCTTTTGTACAGGACAACTTTTCTCCTTTTTTAAAAAAATCTCTGTAGGGTTTAGATTTTTAATTTTTTAAATCTCTGTAGGGTTTAGAAAAACTCTTTCATTCAATTACCAAAATCAAATTCAATTAACAATTCCACTTTTTTTTTGAAAAAAAAAATGCAGCTTTATGTTTGTTTTAACAACTATCAGTCTTGGAAAACTGAGTCCATCTCATAATGTCGCAAATATTTCAAATTTCCAAACTTAGCATTGCAATTTTTTTTTTTGGTTTTATCGGTCTTCTTTACAATTCAAACAATGTTTCATTAAATTATTGTGCAACACTCAACACTATCTTTAAGCTAATGAATCCATACTACGAAAAACTATCAGCGAATGGGCTTCGCGTACAAATACCCCCTCAATGGTAAGAAAGGGAAAGTCGGGGGAGACATCCGAATGCATTGCCGAAATTTGCGTGCCGATGACGCCGGACACGTAAAGAGACTATGAGTTTGCCCACACTCAGAATAAAAAAAGTCGTGTGTACATGCGCGGACCAGTCCGTGCACGTAATGTGTCCCATCCCCTGGGCTCTCGAAAGTGGTCAAAGAGCGCCCTCTTTTGTCCACGCACGGAGCCCATACTAAGGCGGGAAGTGAACCTATCGTGCGTTTTGTTCATATGCACTCACTCTGTGTTGTTGCTTGGTCAGCATTTGTTTGACCAGTGCCATGAACGCAGGCTCAACGTTGACGGAGTTCTTGGCGCTGGTCTCGTAGAACAGAAGATCAAAGGCACTGGCAAGCTGTCAACAAAAAGAAAGAACGAGTGGTGTTTAATTCACGTTGATCAACAGACAATTTCACGGTACTGCAAAACACAGTATTTTGTTTTCTCACATAGGCTGAATCCGTTTTATTTTAATGCAAGAAGCAAAGCAGCCAGGGAGCCAATTTCAGAAACTGAACTGTCTCAAAGTAGTGACACGGCAATAGAAATTTACAAGCACCCAAGCATTAGCATCTCTATGCTGTGAATTATGCTAAAGGTTAGCACATATTTTTTTCTGTTGTAGGTCTATATTTATAAGGCCAAAAAAAAAGGTCTCCGGTTTCTGGTATGGAGCTTGCCCAAAAAAGTGGTGCGGTGACACGGCTTTTTTTTTTTTTAACCCGATTTTTTTGCTTCAAATGTCGGCTGATGACTGCAAATGGTGCCCGACTAAACTTAGTGCAAATATATGGGAGTCCAGAGAGGCCACATAAAGCTTATTCTTGACCATAACCCAATCTAAAAACACGTTAAAATTGTGCAGCAGCAGGATTCCAGTCAAACCAGTGAGTTTGGCGGTTTTGAGACATCATCTTTCACTGAAAATTTTTTTTTTTCATTTTGCCGACGCGCATGGCTACGGCGACGCGCGCGCATACCAGAAACTGGAGACTTTTTTTTTTTTGGCCTAAGCTTGGTTTGGACAAAAAAAAATTAATTGAAGTCTGATTTTTGTTAAAATGTAGGTTTTTGGGAGGTAACCGAGTGACACTTGGTTACTTTTTCTTGTTTTGGCACAGGCACAGTCACCATATCTCACAGGCTACGTTCTCATATTTGAATCAAAGCACTTTTTGAAAATATTTGTCGTGTAAAAAGAGGATTATGAATGGTAGTATCACTATTATTACGAGCATTTCTTACATTGATGGCCCTCATAGTTGGGACTTTTCTTCTGTCCTCCTCATCACACTTGTTGCCGACGAGCACTTTGCAGACGTCTGCTGAGGCGTTCTGTTCAACAAAAAGAATCGCTCAAAAGCGTAAGGTCTATGGGGTCAGTGTGCATGTAACCCACAACGGTAACAATGAAAAGCAAGTGCCGATACTGAAGGAACTCTATCTTGCTTCATGTCCAACACACACTCTTACAAAGTTGCGGAATGCCCTGTTTTATTCATGTCATCAGTCTAGGGATTAATTTACCCTAACCCCTAGGCCGTTTTGCAAGGATGTACCCTCAATTCTTTGAATTCATCCCACTGCCTACGTGTAAAATTTGATACAGCCTCAATCCTCTAAAATTATCAGTTATTTCTTAAATTTATTCATTGGAGGGGTGACCACTGCCTCAATCCTGCAAAATCCTCCAACAATCACTGTTGATATGTTATGGCAGTGCCGATGATAACCAGAGGCAGTGTGGATGATTTCAAGTATAATCTAGCCCTAAATTTATGCATGGTTCAGCATAAACAACACAAGGTACAGTATAGACCTTGACACAATGCATCCTCCAAAATCAACTGACACATTTTCGCCATGCAGTCTCAATCCTTTGAAATCCTCCACTTGGGTGAAGAGGATTTTAAAAGATTTTGAAAGGCTAGGGTTAACTGACAGTCAAATATTTCAAACACAACTCTGAATTGAAATCTTACATGTAAATCAATGTTACTTCCCCTTTGGTAAAATTCACTGCCCTACATACACAGTTGACTTGGACCAATTACATGGCGCTACTTAAAAAAAATAGCTGAGCTAAAATTAGCGGGGAACCAGTCACAAACAGCATTATCACATTGCATATTGGCTGGTAACCTTTAGTTGCTAAGGACAAACTCTATTCCGCTTAGCAAGTTTGTGCGTTACGCACATGGCTCCGTGGGATTGGACCCTAGTCTGTATACAATGACAGCCTTTCTCACCTGGGAGATGTTTTCCAACCAGCTGGTTATGTGATTGAAGCTTGTCTCGTTTGTGATGTCAAACAATACAAGAATTCCCTGTAAGAAATAGAAAATCCAAAATCCTAATATTGACGAATACAAAATGTATTTCACACCCCCCCCCCCCCCAAAAAAAAAGGAATTGCCACAAATGCTTTTCTGTTCTGCAATAAAAAGCAAAAGGTGGAAAGCAAATGAAATTTTTATGCCTGTCAATTCTAAAATATTGAAAAGGAATTTACCAATTTTGTCATGTCCCAGCATGCAAAAAAATATTATCTAATAACTAATGCATTTTCATATTGTTATCACAATTCCGAAAAAACACCGATTCTTAATGTGAGATACTGATGACATCAAATGCAAAATTAAAAAAATCATGAATATTTCCTTTCAAGCCCTTGCCTATAATTAACTTACATGGCACCAGGCTTGAGCAAACGGCACTCAAGTAGTACGCACGCATTCCGGGCTCCTTCATCCAATTGTGTTACCAAAATGAGTGCGTGCCTAGTCTTTAAGAACACGTGTGGCGTGCGCACAAGCATGGCACCACTGTAAAAATGGCTTCTAATTCTATTCGCCGGATTGTACACAGTCATGCACGACAATATGTGGAAATTAATTACTTTTCTTGTTTCTCAGACCAAGATGAATGCACTTACCATAGCACCTCTATAATATGCGGTAGTGAGTGTGCGATATCTCTCCTGCCCTGCAGTGTCCCTGTAGGTGAATGGAACATATGGTAGAAAAAAAAAGAATAAATCAAGTTCTGTTGGATTCCTTAAAGGTAATATACAACATTCATAAATACCTCAGACAGTTTAGCTATTCCTATTGGTCGAGAGCCCGTCACGTGGCTGGTCTTAAACGGATGATAAAGACATGGCTAGCTGGTCTTAAACACTTTTCATAATGTGGACTCCTAAAAATCCAGTGCCTCTTACCGTTTCATTGGTTGAACGTTCACAATCCTCACATAGGCATGCGCAACACTACAAGTGAGTCAGAATTTTATAGTTCTAAATTCAAAACGCAACGCCCCAGGTGCGTTCTGCGTGACATCGCGCAGAACATGCTACGCGCGCGTCAATCTCCATAAAAGGGTTGTTTACATCTTACTCGCCAGCTGAACACTCCATTATTTTGCTAGAGGGATGTTTCAAAAAGCATGAAGTGAACTTGTTGAACAAAATCAGGATTTTTTAAACGAATTATTTGATATTTTTTTACGGATAAGGTATTTATGAATGGGAATAAATATGTGCTCGGTGGGTATTTATCACTCTGTTTAATACCGCTTAGAGTCTGGGTGCTGATAATTACCCGAGCCGGACCCAGACTCTAAGCGGTATTAAACAGAGTGATAAAAACCTCCGGAGCACACATTTATTCCCTTATTTGCAAACATCAAAAACAAAACTACCAAATTATTATGAAATACCTTACTTGACTGTGCGTGAATAACAGTCTCAAGCATCCTGTGAAATCATAGCACATGGTGTGCTGTCATTTGCAAGAAAAGTGGAATTTTTGTATCAATTTCCAACGATGGTAGTCCGACCATCGATGGAAAAAAACTGATTTTTTTTTTCTTCAAATATTGCCCCCAAATTACCAAATTCAGTAAGTCCACAATTTGTTTGCAATTGGTTACACATCCGTGAACAAGTGCAAGCCAGCTAGTCTGGTTCCCTTTGTGACCTGACAATTTCCAGACATCTATAAATGTCTCAGTTATGTCTGCAGTAGGGTCAGGGAACAAGAATACAAGAACAGCATTTGTTTTCTTGGTTTTTTTTCTAGCATCTATGAACACAAAACGTTAAAAAAGTCAGTGTAACAATATTTGCTGTGAAATAGTAACCCCCAAATCCATCAATTTCTGAAAATGATTACCTATACCTTTATAATCTTATTATAACCCTAACCCTCCTCATTCCTCCAAAATCAACCAGGCGGCCAGGGAGGATTTTGGAGGATTGAGGCTAAATGCCAAAATGTGTCAGCTAAGTTTGTATGATGCGTTGTGTCAAGGCTGTACCCTGCATTGTTTATGTTCAGCCATGCATAACCGAGGCTTACATGTACAGTATAATGAATATCATCTGCACTGCTTCGGGATATGATCAGCATCATGCTGCCTCAATGTACTACAGTGATTGTTGGAGGATTCTTGAGGAATAGGGTCCGTATTCAATTTTAGCATGACAGCAATTGGAAGATTTTGCAGGATTGAGGATGGATCCTAGCCAAAAGAGCCTAGGCGGTTAGGGTTAGTGCTAAGTTGGCATGCATTCAAGAATTTTCAGTTAAAGTACAAGGTTGAATGGGTTCGAATCAAATTCTATGCACAATACCTGTACGTACAACTACAACCAGTAACTTTTGACAAAATGTTATTGTCAATCTACTGTCTTTTTATTTGTTTCTAACAAAACTGTAACAATGTAGAAAGACTACTGGCTCCTTTGGACATAGTTTTGTATCGGCAAAATAGTTGAGAAAATTTAAGAATCCAATCGCCATCTTGGAAAGTCCCCCATCTTGGGGCGAAAAGGAAGGACATAAAAGGGCTCCTTGCCTCCTCCATGAGCTTGAATTTGTAACTTCAGTCAACTTCAAACACGAATCAAATCCACAACAGTTTTAGTCAATGGCTTACCATATTTGTAGTTGTATTCTCGTTCCGTCAAGTGTGACAACGCGCTGTCTGAAGTCAAGACCTGCAGAAAAATATTTGTTTTTAAGAAAACAGTACATTAAGATCACAGATGCAGAAAGGGTAACAATTACATGATAATTTACTAACATCCTGGACTTTAGGTTATGCTAAAACATGGACAGCTACATACATACATATTGGAAGATAGTTTATCTCAATTCACATCTGGGACACGAAGTCATTATCACAGCAACACATCGTGTCCTGCCAAGATTAGACTTCCTTAGTAGTGGTTAGCGCTTCTTGCAACTCGATGTACCGTAGGAGCAAAGGATGCTTTTTATTAAGTATTTCTCATGTCAAATTTAAATCATTCAAACTCTAAATAATACTAGCAAAATATTGGGAACTACTTTGCAGCAGGTTTATATTTTATGTTTGTTGTGATAGCAAAACCCATTTTCAAACAACTGATGAACAATAAACATTACATTTTAATGTATGTGTGAGTTGACTGCATGCAGAAGTTTACTTTGGGAACGTTTTTGTACTTTTTGGGGTACTTACATTTACTTTTGAAGTGTTAGAGGCACCTTAACGGAAAGGTGCTTTCTGGCACCTTAACAGAAAGATGCTTTCTAGAAGTAACTTACATTAACTCTCAGACAACTCACATGAAGAACAAAAATGGACTCTGTTGTGATGTCTGGAACAGCTTAACAACTGCGTTTATTACATGTCGTCGATAAAACGTTAGGCCAATGGCCCTAAAACTTAGCAGTTTGTAGAAGTCAACATTGTTTGATGATTGCGAATTCTGAGATTGAAAACAATGGTTACCCATTGATCTCCCTATGTCCCACGCCAAGTTGGCACGCTTGCCACACATAGATTTGGACACGCTTGTCCTGAATACTTGGCACGCTTGCCACACATAACATTTCGGGCACGCTTGCCCTCCAAAACTTGGCACGCTTGCCCTCCAAAACTTGGCACGCTTGCCACACACATTTGGGCACATTCACCCTTAAACCAATTGGCAGAATGAGTGAAAATGTATAAGTATTGGAAAGATTTCCATATAAGAAGTTCACTGATTTTCCTCTGTATTGACTAACAAGCCCCCAGATAGCAATTTCATGTCATCACTTGAAGTCAATTTGAGCAGTGAGAAAATACAAGCATTTTCTTAGAAAACACTTAGAATTTTTCAGTCCAATCTCATAGGGTTTGTACACAGGGTGTTGAGTGAACTTCGTATATATGGAATCTTTCCTAAGTGGAAATAGTTCCAATCTGAATATAACCTTAATCTATATTTCCACCGTTTGTACGAACAGTTGGAGTAATGCAGTAGTAAACCCCCTTCATTAATTTTGCATAGGAATGATTAATCTCACAAATTTGCTGGTAAAGGGCACCTCAATTATTCCTTGCAGATTTTTTTTTTCACTTCATATTGAAGATTAGGTTTAGTTCTATTGTATTCAATCATTTACAGTCGACAACTTGGGATCAGGACCTCAGATAAATTCCTGAACTTTGGATCTTGGGAATCCCTAGGCTCAATTCGGAGAATTTCATTTTATTTCCACTGAATGTTAAGGCTGGGGTTTCCCCATAGAGCTGTATACAGCTCTATGTGTTTCCCTAGAAATCGAAGTTAACAGAATGCGAGTATTAATTAAATTTACGTTAGTTTTTTTTTTTTAAAGAATGTTGCATCCTGACGCCACTTTTTCATCCTACATTTCTCAATGAAGGTCTAAAGACATCCATCTCAGTCCTGATTTAAGGCGTGCGATCACACCCCACACCATCACCAGAGTTGCTGACTCGAGTCATGTGACTTGGACTCGAGTCGGACTCGAGTCGCTATTTTTGTGACTTGTGACTTGACTTGTAAATACCAGCTTTGACTTGTGACTTGACTTGGACTTGCAAAAAATGACTTGTTACCAACCCAAGTTAGATGCTAAATCAAGTAAAATGAATAGTTCCCACTACTTTCAAAAGTTTTCAATAAGACTGTCACAACAAACTACACAGTTTTCAATGACCAAGTCTCTTGCTTAATGTAATGGTTGAACAAACTTTGAAAGGAACCTTTCATGAAAAGAAAGCAGGCCTTTGTCAATTGCATGTAAAATACCGGATAGCCTAACCCATTGGTTGGCGTTTAGTATACATGAAAATTGAACAATAAAGTGTTAGTATACTACATGTAATCGAGTGAGTGAAGTTTTTTTTTCATGTCATCGCAACATTTATTTCTACAATGTAAAGTAAATTTATTAAAGTATACAAAGGGCTAATATCCGACAGATATGTGATAAACTATAAGAATAGTAATAGCAACACATTGAAAAAGGGGAATTAAGGAGGCATGTTCAAAATAACTTGTAAGTTGACGCCAGGTTCTTTTAGCTTATATCAGCTGGACAAAATAATGTGCAACTTGACATGTTCTTGGACAAAGATACTTGTGACTTGACTTGTGTTTAGACCGAATGACTTGTGACTTGACTTGTGACTGGACCTAATGACTTGTGACTTGACTTGTGACTGGACCTAATGACTTGTGACTTGACTTGTGACTGGACCTAATGACTTGTGACTTGACTTGGACTTGCAAACAATGACTTGTGACTTGACTTGGACTTGCAAAAAATGACTTGCTGCCACCTCTGACCATCACACACCAAAAAGCTTCCCGAGAAGTGTGATTAATTGCACGCCTAAATTTCCCTGGACCACAGATCACACACCTAGAAAACCACACACCTAGAAAAAAACACACACCTAGAAAAATCCATGTGTGCCTTTTTCCGCACACCTGTGATTTTCAAATCAGAAGGACTGCCACCTGTTGGGACTGAGAAACATTTCCAATTTTGTTAGAAATTTAGGGGCCTACCTAGAAAATTTTCTTGACTCTCCATAGACTCCACTGAAGTGGCGTCTGGATACGTTACAACCATATTGGGGCAACAAAAATCATTTGGAAAATCTGTAGGCATAAGCCACTTCGGAGTTACGAAAATGGGAGTAATTGCAGAATACCCCGCCATGCGAAAATTACCCCCTAAAAATAAATGGCTACGCAGTCGGAAAATGTTGCAGAAATGTCCAAAGTACATGTCATGCATGTAGATGTCGGGAAGTGGATACGCGGATACTGCGGCCAGCAGGGACAACGTGAATTGAATGGGGAGCAGGGGTTAAATAAATCTAAGTCCAAAGTAGGTGCCAGGAAGTGGATACCTGGATACGGGGAGGACTTTATTTTTAGCGGAGGAAAATATTTTTGACATGTTTGAGAACGAAACATCCATATCCATGTTAGGGGAAAAACGGGGATACGGGATGGACTTTACCAGACGCACACGCGTGTGGTTTTGGGGAAAAAGGTCTAAGTCCAAAGTAGGTGCCGGGAAGTGGATACGCGGATACGGGGATACGGGGTGGCACACGCGTGTGGTTATACTAAGTTGAGAGTATCCACTATCCAAGCGTGACTCCGTATCCGCGTATCCGGATACGAGGTGGGATACGAGAGTGGCGGGGTATTCTGCAATTGTGCCCGAAAATGTACTACTGCGCGTGCGCACATCAGATTTAACGATTTAGTGTCCGAAGATAAACAAAGCAGATAAATGCACACGATTCCATGCACACAAGTCTATGGTGGACGTGGTAATTGAATCCACATTGTGCAATTTTGTTCTATTGGAAACTTTTGTTCACACAAAAGTTGGAGCATACAATTACAAAACATCTTAAACCATGGTGCCGTTGAAAACAATCAACATTTTGCATCTACTTCAAAACAAGAACTTTTCTTTGATTTCGTTGGCACCCCGCTATAATTGTGCGCGTGTGTGGCAAACTATTTAACCCCCCCCCCCCCGACCCCAATCGTTGTCCTGGGATGTGCGCATGTGCAGTAGTACATTTTTGTAACTCTGAAGTGGCTTATAAAGTCATTTTTAAACGGAATTAGTAATGTCATGTTAGTATTTTATTAATTTAATATTAAAAAAGGGAGGTGTCCTTCATTTTCATGTCCATATAGGCCGATATAATAATTTTGCCTTTTTCCAAAAAAAATTGTAGCTATGTAGAAAAGTTTGTGCCTCCTTTGTACATGTTGTGCCCATTCTTGAAAATCACGCATTCTCGAGAATGGGCATGCACATTCTCGAGAATGGGCGCGCAATCTTAAGAATGAGCGCCCATTCTTAAGAACGAGCACGCGTTCTTAAGAATGAGCGCTCATTCTTAAGATTGGGTGGGAATATCACGTGCACAATTTATGAATTTTGCCCAATCTTAACAAACATTGCACGACATAATTATGTTAAATGAATTGTATAGCGGTTAAAAGGGAAACAATTCATATAAAGAGGAAAGAAAATGTGCTATGCTTCTGTACTCGTATAACTACGATAATTTGAATCAAATTAAACCTGTTATTATTGCTTTTTTCTGCCCACTATGGGAAGTTTTGTAATAACGGAGGACTGGGAACTAGTCTGGGAAGTGCTTTATTTAGGCTAGACAAGTTACAAGTCCCTGCATGTATCATATGCGTGCCACGAAAAAAAACGATGTCCAGAAGCTGCCAAAATTGCTCTTTTGACTAGATAGAATCCAGCTCTGCGACGTTATGGTGGGATGTGAACAATAAATTGGTGGCAATTTAAATGGGAAATAGCATTAGCACTATGGGATGTCGCAGTATTCATTTTCATTCTTCACATTCTTCATTCTTACGTCCCCCCCCCCCCCCCCCCCCCCCCCCTTTTATTATCCCAAAAATCAGAATTCTTTGCACTAGTATTAGTATGTCTCTTATATTTTCCCGGTGTCCCCCCCCCCCCCCCCCAATATCAATACGCCTATACTTATCATATCCACTCTACTTTTCAGCACCTTGCGTTGCAATAGTATAATTATTGAGAATCAGTGAACGAGGATTCAGCTAAACTTGCCAAGCGCAGCCGGTGCTCGGCATCGACAAGACCGTTATCTTGTCGCGCATTCTCGAGAATGTGCGCTCAATCTGGAAGAGTTATTTTTTGCCAAGATTGAGCAAGGATCCAGTTGCACATTCTCAAGAATGTGCATGCCCATTCTCGAGAATGCGTGATTTTCAAGAATGGGCACAACATACACATAGAACTGAGACATCATCTTTTGTTTCACAATGTCAATGACACAATGCTCACCTAAGGTCGGTACCGAAGCTCGCGACGATCCTCCACCGACGAAATTATTTTCACAAAATCTACAGGCCAAACATGTTTTCCCGACATTGCTGTCTCCCAAAACCAAGATCTTAAACGTCAGATCTGCTTGCACGTCCTCTTCCAGGTTATCGGTTCCATTTCTGCTCGCCATGGTCTCATCATTGTTTGGGTCATAACAAAGCAAAAACGTTTATCGCTTCAGCTGCCGGCCCTGGCCAGCTGCCTTTTTGCGAATGTACGTTTGTTTACGCAGCGATGATAGTAATGACATTTCGCCCCACAAACTGCTGTCTCAGAATTATGCACTGAAGAATGGACATTCGATTGGATTTTCAACACAGCTGGGGCGATTTGGCATTGAGAGAAAAATGCACCAAAATTCCGTCTAGTTCCCAGACCAGTACTGACCATGTAACATGCAACTCGCAATGGTTATAAAACGGGTAACAGACTATCCAGCTGATTTTCATCTCCGGTGTCGTGCCAAAAACCGTCCGGTGCTAAATAGTGTCCGCTGAGCATGCGCAGTAGGCACCAGACTTTTGGCATGTAATACATGCCAAATAATAGTGTCCGGTGCCAAATAGTGTCCGGAATCCCGGGACAATCCCGGGACATACCGTTATTTCGTTTTACTGTTTTGGATTTCCTCAAAAACAAAAACAGTAAACGAACCATTGACCGTTTTGTCGTTTTACAGTTTTGTTAAACGGTCAAAAGGTATTAAGTCACACCCAAAAAAATACTTTTTGTCGTTGTTTTTAATTGTAGAAAGCGTTAAACGGTTAGTTGCTTTATTTTTAGAGTGTTGTTTTACAAAATCATGACAATGACAAACTTGCCGACCATTTTTTGATTTAGGTTCGGCAATTAAGCAATGCACCTAGGAATGTTAATGCGTCCTTGGGATCGAGTCATTGCCTGGGCCCTCCTTACATTTCGTTCTCATAACAGAATTTGCGAATTGGCTATTGAAGAGCCGCGTCGACTTGAACTCCGGCCTAAGACGTAATGACGTCACACTTTGTTTACATGTGCGCTTTCCTATGTAATAGACGGACCTGCCCCACTTTATCTGGCGTCCCGACTTCTAGCTCCCATAGGAAAGCGTATATGTAAACAAAGCCATTACGTCATTACGTCTCAGGTCTATTTCCTTCAAAATATCTGCAACTTATAAAAACGTCTTACCATCCTGTATCCATTGTGAAATTTAATGTCCTCCCTTGAAGTTTTCCAGCGCCATTTTTGCTTGCAACTCTTTAAGCCCCACCAACTGAATCGCGTGAGAAGGGGGTCAGGGTCACCCCAGGAATCACACCACGCATTAATTACGCCGAGCCAACACTTCTTCGTGTAAAGCATGGTCCCCCTCCACCCCCTTCCCCACCGCCACAAAATGCACCACGGACTGTTAACTATGGCACTAAAAAAAAACAGTCTGTATTCAATACTGACCGTTTTGCTAATTTTCAAAGTTATTTGTGTAAAACTGTAAAACAAAAATCATTGATCGTTATGCTATGATAAATTTTACTAAACGTATAAAACGGAGAAACCGTATTTATCTATATAACGCTTGTCGTTTTATAAAACTGTAAAACGACAAAACGGTCGATGGTTCGTTTACTGTTTTTGTTTTGAAGGAAATCCTAAACGGTAAAACGAAATAACGGTATGTCCCAGGATTGTCCGGGCGCCGTCGATCGAGCGAGAACAAGGGCGCAAGTACGGTCCTGCCGGACGGTATTAATTAGCTGGAAAAATCGGACAGTATTTTGCAAGGGGAAATCGGACAATATTTGGCAGGGCGGGGAATCGGACAGTATTTGTTGGCAGGAAAAATCGGACAGCGTTTGGCAGGAATATCGGACACAATTTGGCCGGGGGGGGGCCGGGGATCGGACAGTATTTGGCAGGAAAAATCGGACAGTAATTTGCAGGAAAAATCGGACAGTTGCAGGAAAATCGGACAATATTCAGTGGCAGGGGAATCAGACAATATCGGCAGGGGGAATTGGACAGTATTTAGCAGGAAAAATCGGACAGTATTTGGCAGGAAAATCGGTCAATATTTGGCAGGGGGGATCGGACAGTATTTGGCAGGAAAAATCGGACAGTGTTTTGCAGGAAAAATGGGACAGTATTTTGCAGGAAAATCGGACAGTGGCGGGGGCCGGGGAATCAGACAATATTTGGCAGGGGGATCGGACAGTATATAGCAGGAAAAATCGGACATTTTTTTCGCAGGGAAATCGGACACTATTTGGCAGGGGGAATCAGACACTGTTTAGCAGGAAAAATCGGACAGTATTTGGCAGGAAAAATCGGACAATATTTGGCAGGGGGAATCGGACAATATTTGGCAGGAGGAATCGGACAGTTTGGCAGGACAAATCGGACAATATTTGGCAGGAAAAATCGGACAGTATTGGGTGGGAGAAACCGTAAAATATAACGTTGGTTATATAATGCTACACACAGCACAGTACTAGAGTTACGCCCCAACTATCGCATCGGTCCCAACTATAGTTGGGCCTGTCCCAACTATAGTTGGGCCTGTCCCAACTGTAGTTCCACAGTTGGGCTGGCCCAACTATAGTTGGGCCTGTCCCAACTATAGTTGGGACGGTCCCAACTGTAAGTTCCACTGTTGGGCTGGCCCATCTATAGTTGGGCCACTCCGATCTTTTTATTTTGCGGTGTCCCAACTATAGTTTACATTGATGTACAACTATAAAACGTTCCCTACAGCTCTGATACACGTCTGACTTTACTGGGGACCACTGAAATTAGCTATTGATGGGGCGAATCTATAGTTGGGCCATCCCAATCTTTTTATTTTGCGGTCCCAACTATAGTGTACATTGTTGTACGATAAAACATTCCCTACAACTGTAATACACATCTGACTTTACTAGGGACCAATGAAATTATCTATGGGTGGGGACCATCTGTAGTTGGGCCACCGCAATATTTTTATTTGGCGGTTCCAACTATAGTTTACATTGATGTACGACCATAAAACATTCCCTACAGCTCTGTTACATGTCCGACTTTACTTGGGACCTTTGACATTAGCTATATGGGTGGGGCCATCTATAGTTGGCCGGCTATGATCGCAGAACACATGCTGTAAAAGGATAAATACCGTTTACAAATCCAGTGTTCAGATGCGCGTGCAACTGTCGTTAGGCCAAAAAAAGTCTCCGGTTTCTGGTATGGAGCTTGCCCAAAAAGTGGTGCAGCGACGCGGCTTTTTTTTTCTTTTTTCCCCTTTTTTTTGGCTTCAAATGTCGGCTGATGACTGCAAATGGTGCCCGACTAAACTTAGTGCAAATATATGGGAGTCCAGAGAGGCCACATAAAGCTTATTCTCGATCATAACCCCATCTAAAAACACGTTAAAATTGTGCAGCAGCAGGATTCCAGTCAAACCAGTGAGTTTGGCGGTTTTTAGACATCATCTTTTATTGAAAAAAAAACTTTTTCATTTTGCCGACGCGCATGGCTACGGCGACGCGCGCGCATACCAGAAACCGGAGACTTTTTTTTTTTTGGCCTTAGCTATAAGGGGAAGTGGTATGTTTACCACTACAAACATTTCATGTCGACAAGTGTCGTATATCCTCCAACAATTTATTTGAGCATTTTTGGGGGAAAATTCACACATGAGATGAGATGTTATGAGATGTCCATATCTTACCAAGTCAGGTTTTTTTCAGGGGTTTGTTCCGGCCATGTGTTATTATCAAGCACGGGCATCCATCACCGTCGTGTATAATGGGTCCGATTCTGTGGGAGGGGGCATGTTTATCGCTACATAACCAACATCAAAAATGATCACAATGTTTTATTTTTAATGTGGATAAATGTATTATATCCTCAACAACTCCTCTGATTTTTTTTTTCTGGGGAAAATTCACCCGGGAAGACCTTACAAAAAAAGGCATGTTTAATAGGAAGTACTTTGTTATTTTTTGCAGTGTTGGAACTTCCAGTTTGGAAACCGTCCACGCGTCATGTTGTAACATTAGGCCTAAAGAATTATCTTACTTCTAATAATGATACAAAAAGTTAAGCATTGATCCAATGTACTTGTATTTAGTATAAATAATATCACGGCAAACTTGTATGCGAGCGGGTTTTGCATCGATCTTTTGTAAATTTATCATGACCCTGTTTGAGCGTGCCGTTCTATTCTTTAAACAAAAGATTCGAAATAACGGTAAGTATCGTAGAGTACCCCAAATTTGCGCTTACAAATATTCGCGCAACCAACTTTCTTGGCTCGTATCTTGTTTCCACGCAACACCGTCGTCAATATGTTATTCCCATATTCTGGTATTTTTATAACTTTTTACTATTATTGTTTTTGAAAAATCTATGTTTGGGATTCTACGTACACATCCTTACTCAACATTTTATGACTTTATAAGCAACGACTTATTAGTCTGGCAGCTAGGTGGAGTTTCAACAAGAGCTGTTTCGGGGAACTTCGTTACCCAAAACAGCAAATTCTGAGCGGACTACTTTTCGTAAGTTGCACTCCCAAAACAAACTGCGCGTAGGCTTGACCGTTAAACTTGAATAGCGCCCTCAATCAACAAAAAGTAATCACGCAACCCGATCGTCATTGCACACTGTACAATTATTATGTAATCATTTACCATTCTTTCTAATCACAACAGCAAAGAACCTCTTTATCTATCTTAATCCAAATTTGAACACACGTAACTAGCAGGAGCTGTTTCGGCGAGCTACGTCGCCGAAACAGCTAATTTTGCTCGAACTACTTTTCGTACTTTTTACCCTAAACCAAACCTGCGTAGGCTTGACCGTTAAACTTGCATAGTGCCCTCAATTGTATTGACTGAGAGTATCCCCACGAGTAATCGTCACTGAACAATGTACTCGGTAATAGAGTTCTTTCCAATTGCTACAGTATACCAAGGAATTCGAACACACTTTACTTTTTCTTTCAGTATCGGGCGTTTACACTATTGACAGCGCACTCTGTTCCTTATTTTTTTTAGCGCGTTCATTGTTACGCCGAATTGCCTATTCAACTTCACTCTCGATGTACGAACCACCCCTCTCTCAAACTATTCTCCTTTTGTTTCTTTTCTCGCAATTAACCATTCGTTTCACGTAGCGCGACCGTTCAGTATCGGTACCGGTCTCGCACACATTGTATAAGGCCAAATCCACAACACAGCGGTTGTTTTTTAAGGGGTGGGCCAAACATTAGGCCTATTTTGTTCCCCGAAAAAGTGGGTCCAAAATGTTCCGCTCCAAATTTGATATGATATGAAAAGCACTAGGA